GTCAACCTCCGCCATCTCGCGACGTTATGAGCAGGGGGTTACCGACCACTGTGCAGCCTAACTCCTGCGTCAAGGACGACATCGCAACGTGGGGAGTCGAACGGGTTCTGTAGCCTCGGAATCGGCGGACCGACCGCTCGCTCGCCCGAGCCCCCTCGACAGGCCTCGGATTCACCGATCTTACTCCGCCTCGCCCGTCCGCCGCCGCCGAGAACCCCGGTAGGGCCTCGGACGAATTGGTCAAGGCCCGCCGCCCGAGGGCGGGCTCGTCCCGCAACCTCGTCGCCTCCGCCTCAAAGGGTCTCTGGCGGTCGTCGATCCAATTAATGCGCTCAGCTGCACCCGCTACGTAAGCCACGATCGGCAGTGCGCTGCAACAGGAGCGACAGGACAACGGTCAGATCACCTTTTTACCATCCCTCATCGACAATACAGTACAGATCCTCAGAGGCGCACGTCTCGCACTATTCCGCTCGATAGCGGCTGAGACCCGATCCGCACACTGGTCACTTCTCAGCCTCTCGCACAACAGGCCTCGGGGCGACCGGCTACGATGGGCTGCCGAGCCTCTCGCAATCCACCAAGTCAACAAATGCGCGAAGCATGTTACTTGCAAATGGAGACCATACCGATTAGACATCTACGGAACTCCCACGACAACGCCATGCTGCTCCAGGAGTAAATACGTCATCGAATAGTCCGCTCCACGTGTAGCTCTCTTATGTACTCCTGGTTTCCTCCCTACGGCTATAAAAGGAGGCGGCCAGGACCGTTTCTAGGGACGGCGGATAGAGTCACGAATACTCGCATGAACAACACGCCTCATTCTGTAATTCATATCAACTCCCTCTCTCGCCTAGCTTGTAACCCCCTACTACGAGCATCCCGATGCAAGGAATACAAGAACATCTTCTCAGACTGGACGTAGGGCATCCATTGCCCGAACCAGTATAAACCTTGTGTCTCTTTGCATTACCATCCGGAATTGGGAACACGCAGCACAAATTCACTAGTCGGTTAAGGACCCCTGGTTCCGAAACACCGACAAGATCCGTCTCGTAAATTAGTCATAAACTATGCAATTAGTTATTTTTAATCTATATTTAATACTAAATGCATGTGTCCAAACATTCGATAGGATATTGAGTAAACTTTAGTAGAGGAACTAAACAAGGCCTTAGTTGATCACCCTGGTGCTGACTACAAAATTAATTAGAACAAAGTTTAGGAAACATAGATATACATTTTCCTTTTTTGGAGATTTCGAATGTTCATGTCTCCGGAAAGGATGCGAAGTCTTAACTTTTTGCATGAAACGAGTCACTGAGGCGACCGAAATGTTATCACCAATTTTAATTGCTCGGTCAATTATTACCTCAAGCAGCTTTCGCTTAGCCTAAGCGGCTGGTCGGGAATAATTATATTTTGCATTCTATATAATGTTAAAAACAACAACCGTTTTGACTAGTGATTTGAATCAACTGTACTATTTGCTTTTCTACTTTATACATAAATTTTCAGGCATAATTCTTTCGCCCTCCCAAACAGAAGTAGCGAGCGATGCACTTTGGTGTTCGCTCAAGACTTGGGACCATTTATTTCGGCTTGCTAGTATCCCGAGGATGCACTTGGCAAAAGGATATGGCCCACCATACTCATCTGCCAGAAAAGCAAGCTACTCCATCTTACCTTTTGTTGTGTTCGTCTTACCTTTCGCTCTGTGGTTTCTTGGAACTTTTTAGAATGGTGAAGTATTTTTAGCCCATAGGCTTTGGAGGTTGCGGAAACAGTCTGAGATCTTATGCGAAAATCCGCTTACGCAACCTCTTTGTTGTGGGTGGAGCTGTCGATATTGAAGTTTTGACGCATGTCGAGGCTTGTTTCGACGCTCGAGTCGGAGACTGCTTGCCTTGGGAAGAAATACGGAAATTGGAGTTTAAAGGGGTACAAAGATCGGCTCGTTAAAAAAAAAACCCACACCTTTTGTCCTGCGTGACTCCTTGTTGCTTGCTTGTAATGCTTGGCGCCTTGGGGGTGTACATTTTGCTGCACTCGTGCCGTGCGGTTTATATAGGAGCAGCGGCGGATCCAGAAAAAAAATTAGGAGGAATTAATCCTTCACATATCTTCGACCGCTATTCGATCTTAAATTTTAGCCCCACTTACACTATAGAACTTTGCCTAAAATTTCATGGGAGCTCCAGAGGTTCCACTGCTTCGGAATGGGTAGGGGGGCCTGTATAGGAGTACCAAGCGCTGGCTAAGAAGGGAGTGATGGCTCCCTTGCAGTAACTAATAATATTTTCAAACTTTGACGAACCGGCCGCTTCTCGGTCGTTAATAACTTCTTCTGTGTTTGACTGTTCGAAGGATTCTATCAACGTGCATGCTGATGTAAGCATGTTCGTTTGAACTTATCAGCCAACCTGACTTTTCAGCGAAATAAAAGTCTACTGTACTACTGTAACAACTCCTCACTAGATGCCGAGAACAAGCGCACGAGCTTGCCTGCATGCATGGATGTATTGTCGGTACTTACTCTTTCAGCATACTGCATGCATGTGGCATGTGCGTTCAACAGTTTTGAAGTGCCTGTGCTGAAGAGCTTAGGGACTAGCACGGCAGCACCACACCTGTATGTATTATATTACTGCTATAACTTTTACATATATTTTGTCTCTAAATACATATACTAGGCTGTCTACTAGTGGATTAGCAGTATATGCTACGTGACACTACTCACATTATTACTGGTGTGTCTGGTATGGCTCATCCTCAAGTGCTCCTCTCAAGGAGTCGGAGCCGCAAAAAGTGGCTCATCCTCAAGTGCTCGGCTCCTGCTTCAATACTATTTATAAGAAAACGACTACTACTCACATTAGGTACGACTCCTTCGGCTTCTCCGCAGAAGCCGCTATTGGAGCCGTGCCAATTAGATCATACGAATACTAGTTTTAGCAAAAGTTTGTAGAAAGAGAGAGTTGGTAACGAGGTCTACTTTTAAAAATTATTTTCTAGAAAAATAAAATTTCTTATAAAATATTTAGTCATGGGAAAAGCACACTAGCTAAGAGCACGGTTGCGCCTCTTACCTCACGAGGGCCCCCTACCACTACCCCATATAATCATCTATGAACAAGTATAGGATGATATCATTTTGTTTTAACTTCTAACTGTTGTATTGAACATTTCACCCCTAGATGATCTCAACTAAAAAAATTCAACTATCAATTTTTATATCTTGTCAAGTAGTATAATTTTGGTATAGTATGCATCTCCATCTATAGTTGTTTGAAAATTTAAAAAAGATTTAAATTTTAAAATATGAGAAGTTAAGAAGTATATTTGGGCGTCTAAATGATCTCAAACAAAAATTTGTCAATTACAAAGTTTTAGATCTTGTTAAGCTATACAATTTTGATACAAGGTTTGTCTTAATCCAACTTTGTTCGAAAATGTTACATTTTTTATACAGGATCATTATTAGAGAACATTGTTATTTCCTTTCTAGAGACTACTGATGTTTTCAACAGCCCTAGAAATTGTTTTTAGAGATGCTAGTATCTCTTACCCCATCCGTCTCAAATTGTAAGTCGTTTTTGCTTTTCTAGACACATATATAGCCTTTGCTACGCATTTGATATGCATTATGTCTATATACATAGTAAAAGCTATGTATCTTGAAAAGCTCGAATGACTAGTAATTGAGGGAGTACATTTGTATGGGCGGTTAGTAACACCAACCACTACTGGAACGGATTTGTAATGGCAGTCGGTGACCCAAAAAATAGAGGACATTTTCTTTTGTAACCATCAGTAACATTCTACTCCTATAAATTAATTTTAAAGACAGTTGTTTGTCTAGAATTATTTATAGAGGAACTGATTTTTAATCCAACCATTTCTAGGAAACCATCGAGACACGTCTAAAAATCATTTCTCAACAGTTTTTCTAAATCTATGTAATAAATACTGACATTTCCGATACTGAATGATTATTTAATTGACCATGAATTATACTTTGTAGTACGCATATTTAGTTATAAATTTTGATAATATTTTATGTAACCAAAAGCGTCGCCTTTAATTAAATTTGGTAACAGGAAATAGCTTGGCAGGCGTTCCAGCTCTCTCCCTGAGTTGCGGCGGCAAAAACCAGTGATAAAAAAGCTGATATCGAACGGAAGTTGCGGTCGCGGGGCAGGATCTGGCTGGGGCCACGTACCTTTCCACTTTCTCGTTTCGCAGTGGAAACTCCACACGTTTTGCCAATTAAACGAGCCGCTAGGGTAGCGAGATGAACAACTCTTTATGACATGCCGCCGCATGCAAATGCGCTATGTCAATCAATATAATAAATAGAATTAAGTCCACTTTTAACCCCTCAACTATTGGATTCGTCTAATTTTAACCCTCAACTACAAAACCGTTTAATGCTAGTACCCCAACTATCAAAACCGATCACTTTTGACACCTGGGAGCGGGTGAGGCTGTTTTGTCGGTTTTGTCACATCTCAGTGACATGTGGAGCCCACATGTCATCGACTCAACCACTCCCTCTCCATCCTCACGGCCACTCCCCCGACGCCTCTCTCTCTCTGGCAGCGGGGGCAAGGCCTTGCTCCCATGGGGCGGGCGCTGCTCCCACGCCGCGGCGCAGCCTCCCACCTCGCGGGCGCCGCGGTGATGAGATTGTGAGGGGCGCCCGCCTGGTCTCCACCACCCAAGGCCAACGCGATGCGGCGTCCTCGCCGCCTCCTCCACCGCCCGCAGTCCCACCTCCACGCGGTTGCCACCACGCGCCGGAACGGCGTGCATCACCCCGCGCGCGGAACTCGTGCATGGGCGCGCGCGCCGCCGCGGACCTGCCCGCACCTGCCATCCATCATCACCCCGGCGCCATTGCCGGACGGACGTGGAGCGGAGCGGGACAGCGCCGACGCGAACGGCGCGCCGAAGTAGACGGCGTAGTCCCCGGTGCCCGTGTTCGGGGCGGGCCATTAGTGGAGCATGCCCCACAAGAGGAGCGTGAGCAGGAAGGAGGTGAGCATCCGGGTGGCGCACAGCACGCCACGAAAGCCGTTGAAGCCGCCCAGCTTGGCGTCGGCGGGGACGCCCTCGCTGAGGCGCAGCGCCAGCGCCTCCCCGCAGCGTCTCCACCAGCGCGCGGTTCTCCTCCTTGAGCGCCATGGCCTCGCGCCTGCACACGCTGACCGCATGCGACACCGGCCATTCCAGTCATTGGATGCTATTATTGCTTCAACTTGAGCTAGCGGCTTCTTTCTCCGTCGTTGCTCAGGACTCGGGAGGAGAAAAAGAAGAAGAATATCACTACTTACCTGTCTCGAGAGGTGGGGGCTCGAGGGTGCCTGCATGAGTAGCGAGGCGAGCTAGGCGGCGCTGCCAGCGTAGCCCTCGACGGCGGTGGCACCGAGCCGTAGCGCGCGGCACACGTCGCAGAGCCGTCGACGCCTCGTCCATGTACTCGTCCAGCCAGGCCGCGCCCCCCGGGAGGTGGAGCGACGTGAAGAGGCGGGCCATGCCCGCGTGTGCGGTGTGGAGCAGCGCCCACAAGGGAGCCGCGCGAGGGAGCAGTGCCCGCCCCGCTGCGCGCGGAGAGAGGAGGCGTCGGGGGAGTGGTCGTGAGGATGGAGAGGGAGGGGTTGAGTCAATGACGCGTGGGCCCCACATGTCATTGAGATGGACAGCCTCACCCACGCCCAGGTGCTAAAAGTGAATGGTTTTAACAGTTGGGGTACTAGCATTAGACAGTTTTGTAGGTGATGATCAAAATTAGACGAATCCAATAGTTGAGGAACCAAAAGTGGACTTAATCCTAATAAATACGTGACACGAGATCGAGCGTGAAAACACACTAGGCCGGCGTCGATCCGCCAAGAACCTCAATTGTCAATCATCAAGATATAAAGTATGTTGACGAAGGCACAATCATGTACGGACGGTTTGCAAATCGACTATATATTCGTATATATATACTGGAATGAGAATAGTTTATTAAAAGCAGGGATACATGGCCCGCTCTGTCAACTATGTTTTGTTTGGGACTATATTTGGAGAATAGGATTGCAAATGATGCCTCCAAACCATGCTTGTACCAAGTCTATGAACCAAAGAGAAACTGATCATATGAAGAGGGTTCCATACACTTTAGCTATCTGAAGCATAAAGTGTGATCAAGTTTGTACACACCCGGACTTAGCCTTTACAGCAAGGATGTTTGGCAGATATCAGTCTAATCTAGGATTTGATCACTGGAAGGCCGTGAAGAAGACATTGGATCATTGCAAGGAACTAAGGATTTTACGCTCACATATAAGAAGTCGGATAACCTTGAGGTCATGGGTTATTCAGACGTTGATACTACAACAGCCATTTAGATTCCATGAAGTCCGCGTTTGGAAATCTATTCACCCTATAAAGAAGAGCTATTTCGTGGAAGAGCTCTAAACAAAGTATTACCGCAACATCTACGTTGCATGCATAATTCATAGCTTGCTATGAAGCTACGGGAAAGGACGTATGGCTTAAGAATTTTATTCTTGGACTAAGAGTGGTTGACAACATATGTAAACTGCTTACGATATATTGCAATAATTTACCAGCAATTCTCTATGCAAGTAAAAAACAAGTCAAGTAGTGTTACCAAACACATTAACACTAAGTACCATGTTCCGAAAGATTGAGTCCAGGGTCAGCTAATAGAAGTTGAACATATAAGTATAGAAGAAATTCTTGTGGATCCACTAACTAAAGGCTTATCATCTAATATATTTATGAATTACATAGTCGCCTTAGGTTTATTGGCAAGCCTCCCATTCTGGAGTAAGGGGACCATAATGCAACCATCTCTCTAGAAGACCAAGAATGGTCATTTTGAGATGGAATGGTGCACTGTAGTCACTGGGTTCAATAACACTTAACTGGTTGTTGTAATTCTTTGGTCTTGGTTAATAACACTTACCTGTTGGGCCATTAAAGAATGGTTATATAAGTATTAGACTAAAGATCAAGGAGAAAATGTTGGGTTGATCTCTCGTGATAAGGTCAATGACCAGGTCCTAGTCCGACAACCAACCTATGGTTGCTGTCCCTAGTTGCGCAGCGCCAAAATTCAAGGGAAGTCTGAACCCTCACGACCAACGTTTCTCGTGAGGCTATAGCCATGCACCCAACAGTCCTGATTTGATCCAGAAGGCGCTGACAACGAAGGGAAGGCTGCCACCGTACACTGGTGACCTCACATGTGGAGCATCGACCGCTGGCATTGCATATCGTGAGCCTACAATCACGACCATGTCGCCATGCTTGAGCCGAGCACTGATAGCTCCCCAGTGGGGCCATGCATCCGCTTCTTTTTCCATAGACAAAGGTACGGTAAAACCTGAAAATCCTCTAATCTTAGTCTAGGTGTTCTAATGATAAGCTATTCGTAATTAGCTCATACTCATATACTCCATAGACAAAGGACCATCGATCACTTGATTGCGTCTTGCTCATACTCCAAAGAGGTCTGGTGGAACATACTGGCTGCACTCGGAGCAGACGCGAGCCAAGTGGAACATCAAACAATGCTCGGCCGGTGGAATTCCTGGAGAGGGCTCGGTGGAACGGCCGGAGGCAAAAGGGCGCCGATTCCCTCTTCGCGCTGGTCGCGTGAGAACTATGGAAAGAGCGGAACGCGAGGTGTTTTCGCGGCGCTGCGACAAGCGTGACCCAGCTGCTTGCCTCGATCCGGCACTTCGCAGGACAGTGGATACTGGCAGGTACGGTGCGATGTACCTGAGTAATAGGCCACGTGTGTTCAGGACTAGGGGAGGGGTGCTCAATTCAAATACTTGCCTCACCCTAATGTATCTTTGTAGCCAAAACTATTCTCGATGGGCCTGGGCCCTGGTGGAAGCCGGGAGGGACGGAACGTTCTTCTGCCGAGGCAGACCTGCAAATGGAGCTTTCTGAATCGGCCACCCGCAGACCCGCCGCTCCTCAGCTCAGCAGCGCTGCAAGTCTGCAACTGCAACGGGCAAGCCTCTCCACCTACCCCGCCCCGCCCCCAGCGCCTGCCGCGTGGCACCTGTGTGGCATTGCGGCCGCGCGGCAGGCCAGGGCGCCGCGTACGATGTGGTTTTGTGGTCGATTCTGACCGGGCAGCCGTGGCACCGCACCAAACCACTGTTCCGTAGACCGTAAACGATCGTGGATTATTTACTGCTAACTAATTTAGTATGAGAAAAAATATTATTCTAACTAAAAATTTATGATCGTTTACGACCAAACAAACATGCTCACATCGCCCGTCCGCTCGTCCTCTCTCAGCCATCCACTCCAGGCTCCACTGATGAAACGTGAGCACACCGTTTTTTCCAAATAACCAAAAACGTGAGCACCTCCCCCGCCCCGCGTCCTATACAACAGCAAAACGGCAGGAGGATCGGAGAGAGCTCGTAGATCAGATGGGTTTACGGTCTCTGGGGTCGCCCTGAATCGACAGTTTCCTACCAGGATCTCCTCGGGACGAATTGAAGCCCCTTTTTTTTCCACATACATAGATATACCGACGACAGTCCGACATGTCATGTCCGCAGCGGCAAGCTACGACTTTGGATGGTGTCGGTTCGCAATCACCAACGTACGTACGCCGACGACGGCGCGGCATATTCTTCTGTTCCATCCCTAGCTACATGCGGCAGCATATATATAGCAATCTCTTCTCCTGAGTCCTGCCTGTATATATTACGGAGTACATAAATAAATACGTAGATATACACACCGTACCTGCTCTCTCTCTCTCTCTCTCTCTCGCTCGCTTCGATGTGCCGTGCAGTCGTGCACCGTTCACCCCGTCGAACAGACGACAGAATCATCACCGGTACCACGTCCACGTTCATCAGCGCATGCACACAACGCGTTGTGGAACGGATTCAATGATCCATGCATCTTAAAGGGACGAAGACGCGGTGAACGGCGATCGCTGAAAATGAACAGATAAATCGGATATGAGAACGGTCTGCGAACAGCTAGTAACTAGGATCAGTGGGGCGTCAGCTGGTTCCCCTTTCAGGGACCTCAAGGACCAACCAGCCATGCCTCTTGCATTTATGTAATATACTCCTAAGATCGATCATCAGATGGATCGAGTTGCCCGGCCTGCATCTGTCCTTACTAGCTCGGCCTCTCTTGCTGCGCAATGGCCGGGCCGGCTTGATTCCGTGCGTTGCGAATTTTGCAATCCAACTTGGACCACTTGCACGTTTCGCTCATCAGGTCAATTATATAGCCTTGCTTTTCGTCAAAAAAAAAACAAGTGTTGTTCTCTGGTCAAACGATACTTAATTAGGTTAGGTACGTGCATATCTTACTTTTTTGGCCAAACTAGCAATGGTTCACGCAGTGAAACCTTAAGGACACGCAGCGAAGATTGATCCAATTTAAGGCTCTGTCTCGAAATCTCTGTTTTTTACATTTTTTTCTATACTAGCTGCGTTGCAACTGGGGATAAAAATTATCAAAAGTTTATAGTAAATGATGACGAGAAGAAGGGTATATCTACACCTACCTATGGAGAGTTTTTTTTATGTGTGGACTTATATGACCCGTGCTCATACAATTTAGAACGACTCACGTCTAGCGATGACTGATAGAGTCTGATTCTAAATAACCTGGACTCATGACTCGTGCTCATAGGTTAGAACAACTCACGTCTATCAACTACATGGAGTCCGATTCTAATATGCATTGTATTCTACTGCAATGCATGAGCACGTTTGTTAATCTATCTATACCTACCTAATATAAACTATTAAAATGCCAAAATTTATGCTCATTTTTTGACTGGCCTTCTCCGAACTAATTTTGTGACTGAAAATGATAAGTGTTCGTTCTTTTCTATTCCGATTCTCATTAGATGAATCTATTTGGATTAGGATTATAACTATCTAGGACAGACGAATAGAAACAATTTTCACATTCACATAGTTAGTTAGGAACCAGTCATGAGGAGGAAGAACTGTGGGCCGACCGACCAGTAGACGAGACCACATACAAAGCTGAAGCAGATAAACACATCCTCCTAACGAAGAGTTCTGCGAACTCCAGCGACACGCCTCGCAAAGCTGTCGGTACAGGAACCCCAGCACTCCAGAAGCCTAGCTATAGCCCTCCGCCGTGTCCCAGTCAGTGACACAGGGGAGGTACATCCACAACGCGGTGTCTCCCGTCCCTTCGGGGAAGAGAACACAACCAAATGGGTGCATGATCCATGCCCTGCAGTAAAAGGTAACTATCTCCCGTCCCGTCGGGGAAGAGAACACAACCAAACTTAAAAAGAGTTTGACTTAATAAGCGAGATGTGCACTTATTTTTTGGAACGAGAGAGTAAGTGTTAAAGCTTAGGCTAACTGTGGATATCATGCATCGTGACCTCTGCAACATCATGTTGAACAGTTCTCGTTCAAACCTGATGAACGTGAACCTGGCCGGGTTAGGGGGAATGTTCACGTGAACCTAGCCTGTTGGTTCTCGAT